CATTCGTCAACGACACCACCTTCGCCTCCATGCTCCAACAATTACATTGCTGATCGCTTTTCTGCTTTCCTCCGTTTCCTCCCTCAACCCACCAACCCCCCCTCTTCCAGGTGTTTGTGTTGGATCCATTCAACAATGACACCACTTTCTCCTTCCTGCTCCAACCCTTCACCCAATCACTTCTCATTCCCCACAATTCTCCACACCCCACCAACCCTCCCTCTCTCGCAGGTGTTTGTGTTCGACCCATTCGTCAACGACACCACCTTCTCCTCCATGCTGCAACCCATCAAGGGCCTCTCCCCCCGCCGCTCCCCCCAGTTCCGCCCCTTCGCCCTCGGGCCGCGAGACGGGGTTGCACTCTTTCACCCCATACGCTCTCTGCTCCTCCTCTTCCTCCTCCTCCTCCCCCTCATTCTCTGCATCCTCTTCTGCTTCCTCTGCCTCCTCGGCTCAAGAGACCCGGGAGGCGGCAGTGCTGCGCCTGCGCACGTTCATGTGCATGCATTCCCACCGTTGGATCGACATCCTACGGCTGGATATTGCTGGTCTTGAGCTCGACCTGTGCGAGGATGCAGCAGCAGCAGCAGGAGGGGGAGGAAGGGGAGGAGGGGGATTAGGAGGGGGAGATGCATTTGGCACGAGTGTGGGAGATCTGACGCAACATGGCGCCGCGGCATTGGCCGAGAAGACCCCCGTGGGGCCCACACCAGGGAGCGTTCCTATTGGCCAGGTGGCGGTGAGGTTCCACCCTGAGCTGGCGGGGAGGGATGGGGCAAAGAGGCGGCAGAAATGTGAGGAGACCTTTGCTGCGTGGGGACTGAAGAGAGTGCATGTGATGGGGGATGGGAGCACTGTACTATTTGCTCGCACTGATGCTGCTGCTGCGTTGTAATTGTCAAAACATGATAATGTTTGTGTTGTGTAGGCTGTAGTGGGGTCGCCCATAAGGAGTGCAACCCAATTAGACTTAGTACTTGTACGGAGCTTGTTCTCAATGCAACTCATTCTCGTTCAATATTTTGACATGGTTTCAGAGCAGGTCCTGTTCCAGGACCGCTTTTTTTTAGGGCCCGCCAAATCGAAACATGCCCGTCGCGCTGCCCCACCAGTCGCGCTGCCCTGCCCTGCGTCGCGCTGCCCCGCGCACGCCCTGCCCTGCCCTGCGTTGCGCCGCCCTGTGCACGCCCTGCCCTGCGTCGCGCCGCCCGCGCACGCCCTGCCCTGCGTCGCGCCGCCCCGCGCACGCCCTGCCCTGCGTCGCGCCGCCCGCGCACGCCCTGCCCTGCGTCGCGCCGCCCGCGCACGCCCTGCCCTGCGTCGCGCTGCCCGCGCACGCCCTGCCCTGCGTCGCGCTGCCCGCGCACGCCCTGCCCTGCGTCGCGCTGCCCGCGCACGTCCTGCCCTGCGTCGCGTCGCCCCGCGTACGCCCTGCCCTGCATCGCATTGCCCGCGCACGCCCTGCCCTGCATCGCGCTGCCTGCGCACGCCTTTCCCTGCGTCATGCCGCCCCGCGCACGCCCTGCCCTGCGTCGCGCCGCCCGCGCACACCCTGCCCTGCCCGTCGCGCCGCCCCCGTGCCCGCGCGCCGCCCTGCTGACAGCGCGCAGCCCTGCCCTGGCTGCGTGCCGCCCTTCCCTAGCCGCGCGCCACCCCGCCCTGCCTTGCGCGCCTCCCTGGTGCCCGCGCCCTGCCCTGCCCTGCCCTGCCCGTCGCGCCGTCCTGCTGCCTGCGTGCTGCCCTTCCTTGCCTGCTGGTCGCGCGCCGCCCTGCTCTGCCTGCTATGGCCTCTCTTAGCGTTCTCACCTACGATTCTAAGGGTCGTCCGATCCTGTTTGAGACATGGCTAGATGACTCACAGCTGTACCTACAGAGCGAGTCTAGGGACGGCGTCTCCTTGTTTGACCACACGTCTGGGACCTCTCTTGCTCCTCCCGAGACAGCTGACAGTGCGACTCGCTCACAGTGGCTTACCCGTGACGCTACTGCTCGCCTCGCCGTTCGCAACCACCTGCCGTTAGCCGAACGCGCGCACTTTGGCCATCACAAGACTGCTAAGGCCCTGTTTGACGCTGTAGTCGCTCGTTACTCCTCCCCTGCCACTGCTGCTCTAGGCCGACTCATACTGCCCTACCTCTTTCCTGAGCTGTCAGCCTTTTCCACAGTCGACGACCTCATCACCCACCTTCGCACTAGCGACACTCGCTACCGCGCCGTGCTTCAATCCGAGTTTCTAGACAAGAACCCACCCCCCCATGTACATCACTCTCTACTTCATCGTCACCCGCCTCCCTGACTCTCTTCGCGTCATCAGGGACCACTTTCTCGCCCTTGACCCCACAGACCTCTCTCTCGACCTGCTCGAGAAGCATCTCCTTGCAGCTGAGACTAGCATAGTCGCTGTAGGTGCTTCTCGTGGCACTCCTCGCACTCCCTTCTTTGAGGGGTGTTCCCCCTCCCCCCTTGCCCCCTCTGTCGCTTCTGTTGCTGTTGACTTCCTTGGTGCTGAGGAGGTCGGGGCTGCGTCTGCTCCTAGTGGGAGGCGCCGCAGCGGCAAGGGCAAGGGAGGCAAGAGTGGTGGGGGTGGCGGCAGTAGAGGCGGTGGTGGAGGCGGTGGAGGTGGTGGTGGTGGCTGTGGGAGTGGTGGTGGGGGTGGAGGCGTCGGTGGCGGCGGTGGTGGTAGCGGTGGGAGTGGTGACGGCGGTGGTGACAGGTGGTGGCGGCGGCAGTGGTGGCGGTCGGGGTGGAGCGGTCCAGAGGGGCGGTTCTGGCGGTGGCCAGAGGTAGTAGCAGCAGCGTCCCCGCGAGACCCTTTCGCCCCAGCAGCTTCGTGAGTGGTTTGCTCAGCGTGGGGCGTCTGGGGGTAGTGTTCGCTGCCCGTACATCATTCGCACGTGTGATCGGGCTGGTCTAACATGCAGGAAGGTTGGTCACACAGAGTACGGCTGCTTCTCCCGTCTTGACGACGCCTGGCGCGCAGAGTTTGGCGACGAGGCTGAGCTCCCCCGCTGGCGAGAGCTGCTTAGGACCGATGTGGATATCTTTGCTCTTGACTATGATGCTATTCTTGCTGCCATGTATGCTCTGGCTGTTAGTGCTGAGGGTGACTGTTACCTGTGTGTGCCGCCCGACCCAGGTATAGAGGCTGCTGCTCTAGGTGCTAGTGCGTCTGCTCTAGGTGCTGGTGCGTCTGCTCTCTCTGGGCCTGCTGAGGCCTTGCACACCTTCACGCTTGACTCAGGTGCTTCCCGCTGCTTCTTTCGCGACAATACCACAGTCACACCACTCCCTGCACCTATTGCAGTCACTCTGGCTGACCCCTGCGGAGGCCCGGTTCTTGCACGTTCCTCCACTGTTCTCCCGTGTTCCGCGGTTCCGTCTGGCTCACTTTTAGGTCTTCACCTCCCCTCGTTCTCTATGAAATTGGTGAATACCGCTGCCCTCCAGGATAAGATGGTCACTACCACCACTCCTTGAGGTCAGCGTGTGGCGATCTGCACGTGTGCACGGACGGGCCGTCACCTGGCCACGTTCACCCGTCGGCCTGGGTCGAGCCTGTACACACTGACTACTGAGCCTACTCAGGTGGCTGCGTCTGGTCAGGTGTCCGCGTCAGGTCAGGTAGCAGCCCCCTGTTCGTGTCGCCTCCTCACGCACCAGACTCTCCTTTGGCACCACCGCCTTGGTCACCCCTCCCTGCCACGCCTCCGTGGCATGCACTCCCGCCTCCTTGTCTCTGGTCTTCTAAGGTCTCTGCCTTCCCTCCCGCCCTCACCTGCACCACCCTGCCTTCCTTGCGTCGAGGGGCGGCAGCGCACCGCTCCTCACTCCTCCTCGTTTCCCCCGACGACTGCTCCCCTGCAGACTCTCCATATGGACATGTGGGACCTAGCCCGCGTCAATGGACAGGACCGCGGACGATACTTTTTACTAGTTGTTGACGACTACTCGCGTTACACCACGGTCTTCCCCTTGCGCAGCAACAGGGAGGTCCCTGATGTCTTGATCCCTTGGATCCGCGCTGTTCGTCTCCAGCTCCGCGAGCGGTTCTGCCAGGACCTTCCAGTCCTGCGTCTGCACTCTGACAGGGGTGGTGAGCTCTCCTCCCTGTCAAAATATATATGTGATATATGGTTGTGTGTAGGCTATAGTGGGGTAGCCAATATGGGGTACAACCCCATTAGGGTTTTCTATTTGTACCAAACTCTGATCTAGTCATTCTCATTCCTGTCTCTAGATTTCAACATGGTATTCAGAGCAGGAGGTCCCTAGGACCTCAGGATCGATTTTTTTAGGGCCCACCAACTACTGCCTGCGGTTACCGTGCTACCCCACGCCCTAGCCTGCTTGCCTGCCAGTCGCGCTGCCCCGCAGCCCCGCGCGCCGCCCGTCGCTTTGCCCTGCAGCCCCGCGCGCGCTCTACCCTGGCCCGTCGCGCTGCCCTGCAGACCCGCGCGCCGCCCGTCGCCCTGCCTTGCGGCCCCGTGCGAGCCCTGCCCAGGCCCGTCGCGCTGCCTGCAGCCGCGCGCGTCGCCCGCTCTGCTGCCCCGCAGCCCCGCGCGCGCATTTCCGCCCGCGCGCAGCCCGTACCGCCGCCCGCACAGCCCACGCAGCCCGCCCTGAGCCACGCCCGCCCGCTCACGGCCCATCCCACCGCCCGCGCAGCCCGCCCTGAGCCACGCCTGCCCGCGTGCGGCCCATCCCACCGCCCGAGCAGCCCGTGCCGCCCGTTCCGCCGCCCACACGGCCCCACCCGCATCCCGCGCAGACCGTGCACCGCTGCACCCTGCCTGGCGCCTGCCTGCCTGCCTAGCGTCTGACTGCCTGCCTAGCGCCTGCCTGCCTGCCTAGCGCCTGCCTGCCTGCCTAGCGCCTGCCTGCCTGCCTAGCGCCTGCCTGCCTACACTGCTACCATGGCGACGCTGAACGTCCTTGCCTTTGAGCCTGACGGTCGCCCCATAGAATTCTCCAACTGGCTCGACGATTTGCAGCTGCTCCTTATGACCGATGCCAAAGACGGCGTTTCCCTTTTCGATCACGCTACTGGCACTGCCGCTGCTCCTGCTGACAGTGCTCCTGCTCTTGACCGCTCACAGTGGCAGACTCGCGATGCTGCTGCACGCCTCGCTATCCGCAACCACCTGCCGATCACTAAGCGCGCGTAGTTTAGTCAGCACAAGACTGCTAAGGCACTGTACGACGCTGTAGTTGCGCGCTACTCCTCCCCAGCCACTGCAGCTGTAGGACGTCTCATCCTGCCCTACCTGTTCCCATACCTGTCCTCCTTTCCCACTGCTGAGGACCTCATCTCTCACCTCCGCACTAGTGACGCCCGCTTTCAAGCCGCTCTTAAGGTCGATTTCCTTGCCGCCAACCCCCCTCCGCTCTACTGGACCCTCTATCTCCTCGTCACCCGCCTCCCTGACACCCTTAGCGTAGTCAGGGACCATTTCCTCGCCATGGATCCCACCGAGATCACTCTAGCAGACTTCGAGCAGCAGCTTCTCGCAGCAGAGAAGAATATCCTAGCTCTCGGTGCCGCTAGAGGTACTCCCCGCACTCCCCTCTTTGAGGGGTGCTCCCCCTCCCCCCTCCCCCCCTCCTACGTCTCAGCTGCTACTGCCGTTGACCTCTATGGCACTGAGCAGGTCGCAGCAGCCTCCGCCCCTAGTGGGAAGCGCGGCGGTGGCAGGGGCGGCAAGGGTGGCAAGGGTGGTGGAGGCGGGGGTGGAGGGAGCGGTGGTGGAGGCGGTGGGGGTGGTGGGGGGTGTGGAGGTGGTCGCGGGGGTGGAGGTGGTGGGTGGGGTGGCAGTGGGGCCGGGAGTGGTGGAGGCGGCAGCGGCGGTAAGGGGGGAGGAGGAGGTGGTGGTGGTGGAGGAGGTGGGGGCGGGAGTGGGACCGGTGCAGCAGCAGCAGCAGCAGCAGTAGCAGCAGCAGCAGCAGCAGCCGCAGCAGCAGCCGTCGCAGCGCCAGACCCCCTCTTCCCAGCAGCTTCATGACTGGTATGCTGGACGTGGGGCGCCTGGGGGTTCTGGTCGTTGCCCCTATGTCATTCGTTCTGGCCCTCGCAAGGGTCGCACGTGCAACGGATTCCACACTGAGTACCGTTGCTTTGCGCGCCTCAGCGACGCCTGGCGCGCCAAGTTCCCTGATGCCACTGAGTTCCCCAACTGGGCAGATCTGCTTATGCTTGATGTACCTGTCTATGATCTTGATTATGATGCAATCCTTGCTGCCATGTATGCATTGACTGTTAGTGCTGAGGGTGATTGCTACTTGTGCGTTCCGCCTGACCCAGGTATAGAGACTGCAGCCCTAGGTACTAGTGAGTCTGCCCTCTCTGGTACTGCGTCCGCCCAGGCCTTGCACACGTTTACACTTGACTCTGGTGCTTCGCGCTGTTTCTTTCGCGATAGTACCGCAGTCACCCCCCTCCCTGCACCTGTTCCTGTCTCGCTGGCTGACCCCTCTGGGGGCCCAGTGCTGGCACGAGCCTCGACTGTGCTTCCGTGCCCGGCGGTCCCGTCTGGTGAGCTGTCAGGTCTCCATGTTCCCTCGTTCTCTACGAACTTGGTGAGCAACGCTGTTCTTCAGGATCACTGGGTTGACACCTGGACTCCTGGAGGGCAGCGTGTGGCGATCTGCACCTGCTCTCGGACTGGCCGCCACCTAGCCACGTTCACCCGTGAGCCAGGGTCTAGTCTGTACACCCTCACCACTGTTTCACGCTACACTCCTTTGTCTCCACAGCTGTACGCGTCTACTCATGTAGCCACCCAGTGTGAGTGCCGCCGCCTGTCCCACGACACTCTCCTTTGGCACCACCGCCTTGGTCACCCCTCCCTGCCTCGCCTTCGTAGCATGCACTCTTGCCTGCTGGTCTCTGGTCTTCCCAGGTCTCTGCCTGCCCTCCCTCCCTCACCTGCGCCGCCCTGCATTCCTTGTGTCGAGGGGCGGCAGCGCGCCGCTCCTCACTCCTCGTTCCCTCCCACAGAGGCTCCACTGCAGACTCTCCACCTGGACGTGTGGGGCCCGGCCCGCGTCCAGGGGCAGGGCCGCGAGCGGTACTTCCTGCTGGTAGTCGACGACTACACGCGCTACACCACGGTCTTCCCCTTGCGCAGCAAGGGGGACGTCCCTGCTGTTTTGATCCCCTGGATCCGCGCTGCTCGTCTCCAGCTCCGCGAGCGGTTCCAGTCGGACTTCCCTGTCTTGCGTCTGCACTCTGACAGAGGTGGTGAGTTCTCCTCCGACCTCCTGAAAGCCTTCTGTGCGGAGCACGGCATCACCCAGTCGTTCACGCTTCCGGCCTCTCCGCAGCAGAATGGGGTTGCTGAGCGCTGCATTGGCTTAGTCATGGAGGTCGCTCGTACCTCCATGATCCATGCGGCTGCCCCCCATTTTCTGTGGCCGTTTGCGGTCCGGTACGCTGCGCATCAGCTCAACCTCTGGCCCCGTGTCTCCTTGCCGGAGACCTCGCCCACACTGCTGTGGACGGGGAAGGTTGGCGATGCATCGCGTTTCCGGGTCTGGGGTGCTTGTGCCTTTGTCCGCGATACCACCGCGGACAAGCTCTCCGCTCGCGCCGTTCCCTGTGTCTTCCTTGGTTTCCCTCCTGACGCGCCTGGTTGGCAGTTCTACGAGCCCTCCTCGCGCCGTGTCTTTTCGTCTCAGGACGTCACCTTTGACGAGTCCGTTCCCTTCTACCGTCTCTTTCCCTACCGTACCTCCCCTCGCACCCCCTCACCGCTCTTCCTCACTCCAGGTCCTCCTCAGGTAGACCCTCTTCTCGCGCCAGGTCCTGCCCCTTCAGGTGTTTCCCAGGTAGACCCTCCCGTGCCTGCGCCTGTTGAGGTCACTGGTGACTCTTGTCCTGCTGGAGGTAGTGCTGGTCCTGGAGGTGCGGAGCCTTGGGGTGCGCAGCTTGGGGGTACTGAGCTTGGGGGTGCGGAGCCTGGGGGTGCGGAGCCTGGGGGTGCGGAGCCTGGGGGTGCGGAGCTTGGAGGTGCTGAGCCTGGGGGTGCGGAGTCTGAGGGTACTGCGCCTGCACGTACTGAGCGTGCGAGTCAGGAGCCTGGAGGTACTCTGCCTGGGGGGACTGCGTCTGAGGGTGCCGAGCCTGTGTCTATGCAGACTGGGGGTTCTGGGCCTGGAGTTGAGCTGCCTGAGGGTGCGGCTGGGACGCGGTCCCCTTGGAGTGCCCGCCTTCGTCCACGTGTCCCCCTCACCTCGCAGCAGCTACACGACTGGTACGGTCGCCGTCAGGGTCGAGCTACTGGAGCGCGGGGCACTGCTTCTAGGGGTGTTGGAGTTGCTGCCTCTGGTCCGGGAGGTGCTCGTCCTGGGGGTACTGGAGCTTCTGGGCCTGGAGGCACGGAGCGTGAGACACGGAGACACGGAGACTCTGGGTCTGGGGGTGCTGCTGCTGGAGACACGGAGCCTCGAGACCCTGGGACTGGAGGTGCCGGTTCTGGGGGTGCTGCGGCTGGTGACGCTGAGCCTGGAGGAGCTGCTGCTGGAGGTGCTGGAGCTGCTGGCGGCGCTGGAGCTGCTGGCGCCTGTGACCCGGCGCAGCCGAGACTGTTCTTCGCTCCGCCGTCTCCGTCGACTCAGCTACCGCCTGACTCTGCGCTTCGCCAGGTTCTTAGCCTACCGTCGTCTACTGGTCTTCCGTTACAGCTTGGCTCACCGCTGCCTGCACCTTCTCCTTACTCTGAGCAGCCCGGTGGTCCTGCTGAGCGTCGTGAGCCTGCGTCGCGTCTTGTCTCGCCTGTCCGTCCTGGTCGTTTCGGTCGTCGTGTTCCCCGTCCGCGTCAGCCGGCTGTCCCCGGCACCCACATCGTAGTTCGTCGTCCTTCCTCGTCTCCGCAGTCTGTTCCTCTGCCGTCTCCCCCTGCGTCCTCTCTACCTGACGTTCCGGACCCTGAGTCTGATCGGTTTCGTGCTGAGCACCCTACTGACACACGTCTGTTAGCTACTGTTGTCACTGACCCGTCTTTTGAGTCTACTGCTGCATCTGCCTTGGTCGCTGAGCTTGTTGACTTTGCTGCTGCCTGTCGTCTAGACTACACTGCCAGTCTTGTTACTGAGTCTGAGTCTGTCTGTCCTCCGTCCGTCGAGGGTGAGTGTGCTCTTAGCACGGACGTCCTTGAGGACAGGCAGGAGGACTTTGACTGTCTTGCGGCTGCTGTACCTCATCTCACGGCCTGGCTGCTTGCCCCTGAGGGAGACCCGGATGCACTTGACATCCCTACCCCCCGCTCTTACACAGAGGCGGTCTCGGGTCCCTACTCCTCTCAGTGGCAGACAGCCATGGACGCAGAGATGGCATCCTGGAAGTCCACAGGCACCTACGTCGATGCAGTTCCCCCTCCTGGGGCGAACATCGTCGATGGCATGTGGATTTTCAGGGTGAAGCGGCCGCCGGGTTCTCCGCCTGTCTTCAAGGCTCGTTACGCTGCTCGGGGCTTCAGTCAGCGTCAGGGAGTTGACTTCTTCCAGACCTTCTCTCCCACCCCGAAGATGACCACTCTTTGGGTGTTACTGCACGTTGCCTCTCAGCGTGACTACGAGCTTCACTCTCTTGACTTCAGCACGGCTTTCTTGCAGGGCAGCCTACACGAGGAGATCTGGCTGCGCCGTCCTCCTGGCTTCACTGGGTCGTTCCCTCCTGGTACCCAGTGGAGCCTCCGGCGGCCTGTCTACGGTCTCCGCCAGGCGCCACGCGAGTGGCACGACACACTGAGGACGACGCTTGCGGCTCTTGGGTTTGCTCCCTCCACTGCAGACCCGTCACTGTTCCTGCGCACAGACACGTCGCTGCCGCCGTTCTACATCCTAGTGTACGTCGACGACTTGGTCTTTGCTACTGCTGACACTGAGGCACTTGCCCTTGTGAAGTCGGAGCTGCAGAAGAGACACACGTGCACAGACCTGGGTGAACTGCGCAGCTACCTTGGTTTGCAGATCACCCGGGACAGAGCACGCCGCACCATCACCCTGACTCAGTCACACATGGTTCGGCAGGTCCTTCAGCGCTTCGGCTTCCAGTTCTCCTCACCACAGTCCACTCCTCTGTCTACCAGCCACTCGCTCTCAGCTCCACCTTCGGACGAGTCCGTAGAGCCGAGTGGCCCGTACCCAGAGCTTGTGGGCTGCCTCATGTACCTGATGACCTGCACTCGACCTGACCTCGCGTACCCTCTTAGCATCCTAGCTCGCTACGTCGCGCCTGGGAGACACAGGCGAGAGCACTGGGAGGCTGCTAAGAGGGTGCTGCGCTACTTGTGCAGTACATCAGGCATGGGGCTGGTGCTTGGAGGACAGGGCCCGGTTGTCCTCACTGGACACTCAGACGCCTCTTGGGTCGACGACCTAACTACGCAGCGGTCGTCGCAGGGTTACACTTTCAGCCTTGGCTCTGGTTTTGTCTCCTGGCGGTCCACCCGCTCTTCTTCTGTTCTCAGCTCTAGTTGTGAGGCTGAGATCTATGCCACAGCCATGGCTGCACAGGAGCTTCGCTGGCTCACCTACCTGCTGACTGACTTGGGAGAGCGGCCTCGTTCTCCTCCAGTTCTGTACGGCGACAACAAGGCAGCCCTTGCCTTGTGTCAGGAGCACAGATTGGAGCACAGAACGAAGCACATTGCTCTCCGGTACTTTCTTGCTCGAGAGCTACAGCAGCGTGGTCAGCTTCGTCTTGTGTACGTGGACTCAAAGGCCAACACTGCTGATATGTTCACCAAGGCACTTCCGCCTAGTGACCATCAGCGGCACTGCACTGCGTTAGGCCTTGTGTCTACGTCCTCTCACTTGCTTACTGCTTGACTTTGCTTGTACGGTGATCTATATATATACTTGCATGTTTACTCTTGCTAGGCTTTGATCACTGTGTTGCTTGTAGTGCTCTATATAACTCTGCATGTGAACTGGCCTTGTGGCCTTTGCTTGTGCTCAGAGAGTGTGGTGACGTTGTGATCCACCCTGGGCTTGCTTTGCT